AGAGTTTGGTTATGTTACGTTTCATTGTTTTGATGTCTTTACTATTTAGAATCCCAGATTGTTCTGTTTTTATGCTGTTTTGCAGCCACAAAATTACTTTATTAAAGGTTATGAATATTAACTTTAATCCATAGCACAAAAATACTCCTATAATTTTGTATTTTTTGCTGCTGAAGGGGATGAGAAATGACTCCTAATTTTAAGCAGTTGACTCCTAATTTCCCTGCAAAGACCATTAGAATGATCAACCTAAAAGGGAATTAATGGCCGATAATATTACTGTCCAAGACCCTGACTATTTCAGCAACTTCAAGTCTGTCATTACTATTGGTAGTCCTCATTAGAAAGGATAAAAGTCATACAAGTTAAGCACAGGAACCAATGAAGGGAGCCCAGGGAAGTTTACTTACCAGTAAGCCATTAAGTAAGGGACCACAGTGTGTCCAGCTGCTGAAGCCACAGTGACAATATGACCATGATTATTACTCATCATCGCTGGAAGAAATGCCTTTGTAGTCTAGAATAATTTTTATTAAGACAGAAAAATGGTTATTTTTGACTCACAACACCATTGGGAATATGTCATAACAAAGGTGTATTTTATTAAGATCATTACTGGCAGAAATGAGAAACTGAGATCGACAGTCAAATGTGGCAACGTAAGGAGCTGGAGACGATGCCCAGGTTAGAAGCACTAAGGAAGCAATTGATGCTGAAAGTTTTGAGAATTCATCTCATTTACATAGTGGATTTATGCCCCTCATTCTATCTTTGGTCATCAATATTTTCTCTCATTTCATATTAAATATGTGTTACAATCTAGAGTTATTAAGAAAATTTCACTTAATGTGAAATTGTTAGACAATAGCTTAGTGATGTTTCAAAGTACTGAAATGAACATTCCTCCACAGTCACTGAATTATTCATGCAATAAATATTGAGCACTTGCTTTGTCCTGGGGATTCAGAAACAAGAAAATATATTTTAACAGAGGCAGAAAAATAATCAAACTCAAGTCATAAAAATATAAAGACAGTAACAACACCTGAGGAGTATAATCCTATGTCTCTAAAAACTACAATATTATAAACCAATGGTAACTCATTAAAAAAAAAAAACCTCAATTATTAAAAAATACAATGACAGATGTGAATAACTTGGGGATATTAGCACAATGATTCTACATTGTAACTAACCTTTTTGAGATTAGTCATTCCAAATTTACATCAAGAAAACTTTGAGGGAACATTTTAGAAACTGTTTGTTGGGGAATATTCCAAAACTCTCATTTTCTTTCTACACCTTTATCTCTCTATTTATGTAAGACTTTGAATGGTGATGTAACAGATACAGGTTTCATGGACTTCACCCCCACTCCAGATACTGGAACTACAAATCCCATCAATATCAAGGAGAAGCACGCTGGGACGTGAGGGCAGAGCTGAGCAGCCAGGTTGGGATAAAACCGGACATGTGGGCTCTGGGGGTCTCTTGGCCTGGTGGTTCGTAGCTGGTCATTTGGCCCTTGGTCAGCTTTCAGTGTGCTGCTGGAGTCCAAGTCAGCAGAACTGGTAGGACATTCTAGTTGACTTGTATTTCTCTCCCTCTTTCCCTGGGTTGTTCCTTTACCTTTCTCCTTGTAAATAAACCCATTACTGGACCTTTTTGTGTATGTCCACAGTACAATTGAATCTTAAGCGCACGGTGAGGACCCACACACAGGCAACTCAATTCATATTGGGGTGCCCTATAACAGTGAGACTTGTAACAAAATTTGCAATTCTGAGGCATGAGTCTCATGAGATCTGAAAGCAGATTTTTATATAAATCAGATGACTTGGATGATCACTAGTTTCTTCCTTTATTTCTAACCTGGACTACCCAGAGACGCTATTTTAGAATTAAAATATATAATATTTGAAGGTTATTAAGTTTTTGAGGGGGGAGGAAGTATGATTGGTGGGATTTGGTTGCAGTATGTAAAATGATCTCTTTGATTGTTAGATCAGAATATCCTTGGAGAAAACTCCAACTTTTATTTGCTATGTCCTTTATGTCCACTGAAAGCTCACTTTAAACTGAACCTTCAAGTTTTACAAAAGTGAATGTTTGGTAAAAGCAATCAACTTACCCAGAAATGTGCAAGAACATTAACTTCAAAAGTCTTTTCAATCTGAGGGTCTTGTGTAGCAAACAAATCTGATGTATATACTACACCAGCATTGTTTATTAAGATACCAACATCTCCAACTTCTGTCTTCACCTTCAAAAACAGGTAAGAAAGTTGTGCATTCAGTGACTAGTATAGTATGGATTTTTCTACTAGAGGTGGAAAAAGTAATAAAAGTAGAATATATGGCAATATAGAAAAAACACGTTGATTTTAGGTAATTAATATTAAAACAGCACTGCTTGTAAGTTTACTAGGTTGAAAATTTCTTTTGCAACTAGTTCCCTGTCTTCGCTCTAGTAATTATAATTCAAGAGGCATGCGGTTTACAAAAAGAACCTGTGACAAATAAAACCACTAATACATTTTAAAAAAAACTTAAGTGCTGATTAGTTTATTGATCTTTTTTGGGACACATTTAGTTTGAGGTTTGAGCAGAACTATGTGAGTTGTTGTCAGGCAGGCAAGTGAGAAGCTAGCAAAGTGTCCCAGCTAAAGAAACTAAAATGGGAGAGTTGGAAGATGCTGGGATTAAAAGAAATCATTCC